AAAATGTACCGTTTGCAAATTCGACACAGCTACTCCTACTACCATAGCCATTGACGACGCTAAGATTCCACCAACCAGAGGATCAGGAACTGTAGATAATATAGCACCAATCTGAATTTTGTTTGTGAGAATCAGCTTTTTGTAACAAAAAATTTCAATTCTTACTTTCGTGCAAACTCCTAAAACAATCAGCAGTACTCCTGCAACGACCATAGTCCAGCGAGATGCCACCCTAGTTACTCCTATCACACCAATGTTCTCCGTATGTGTGGTCATACCAACAGCTGGTCCAAGAAGACCAGATATAAAAGATCCCATACCTAGATCAGATATACCGTATAGACTGTGAGATTGATCCGTTGGTCCTCAGCAGCTTACCTTCAGCAAGGATGCCTCTGTTGATGGCATGACTTGGTGGTGCTCTTTCTAGAGACATTCTGGCGGCTGCATGGTAGTCTCCAACAGATTCGAAAACGGATGTCATCGCCGAGAGGAGGAAAGCGATGAATAGACTGACATTAAATGTGGGAGCACCAAATTTTCCTAAAAATTACTAGAAGATAGAAGACATTTGATAAAAAAGAGCAAAAGCGAACAAATTAAGCAAATGCCATGAGTAACTTGCCTGGATAAGGTACCGCTATCCAAGCGGCATTTCTAATCGCTTCTACTTTGTGTGGAATGTCGACACGAGCCGGACCACCTGGTTCTACGAGGTTGCATACGGTAAGTATCAGGCAAAACGCCCACGATATTGCGATGGCAATAAGGTACTGTAATTACAAATTGTCCCATTGTACATATACAGTAATCCATGTGTTTTGGGAACATACTGGATACTGTCCAAATAAGTTGGTTCTATACCAATGCAGCTTGCCATATTTGATTCCTGGTAGGGGCACCAGAACATCAGCCAGATAGAGAATAGTAATGAAAAGCGTCACAGCTTGGCTTGAAAAAGCTACTGTAAGCTATAGTAACTTTAGCACCAATTCGATAAAAAATATCATCAATTACTTACAAATGAAAAACCACTTGCAAAATTTTTTTAAACAGTCAGTTTTCTTGCTCTTTTCTTATTCTACTGTGAAGCAAGGCGATATCAAGATCATCTACAAGCTATCGTAACTATAACGTATCTTTTTAAATATTCTGATCACTCACATGATAGCTACCCAATGCATGCTAATCTTCGTTACCATAGTATCGACTTGAGAGAATGCTAACAGCAACATCAATGGCGATACCTGCATAATATTAACAACTTAAAGCAAACTACAGTAATAATGTATAAACCTACCGTAAGTGGCCCTATAAACTTTGTCAATACTCCTACAACACCAGTAAAACCGATAAGCATCGGGACCAAAGACGATGCCATTAGGCAGCCTTGCATCTAAAAAAAACAGCAAAAAGTAGAAATGCACAGCTGAATTTTTTTGTTGTTTTATTCTAATTTGTAATTTTACTAATTTCTATATGTCATACGTAACGAGGAATGAATGCCAAAAGAATCAAGCATAACTCCCTACCAATGCAAGTCTCCCATAGTATTCTTCTTCAGGTACGTCGGCACTAATATTTGTGGAGCACTTTCCCATAAATACTTGCACTGATGGCACATAGGCGAATGCTGTGCCTTGAAGCAGCGCTAGTCTGGAAATACCAATTTCATAACTAGTTTGTCTTCGCCATCAATTGTTACGAAAGGAAAGTTGAGATCCATACATCTTGGACCTAATAGTTATGATTGCCTCAGAAAGAATTGTTATGTGAGCCGTGAATCATCTATTAGAATATTATGAAAATTTCATAGTATTTTAACAAATGATTCACGGCTCACATACTCATAATATTTGAAAGCAACTGCTCGATTACGGTAGATGTAGCT